CGCTGTGCCCTTCCCGACCCCTTCCGAAACGGGCATCCCGTGCTGCGGCCTCGCAGCCCAGACCCGGCCCGGCGCCCCCGGCTCCGCACCCGGGCGCGATGCGGGGCTCGTTCGCTGCGGGGTTCTCCCGCACCAGGCGAGCGCTGGGAGCTCCGGGCGAGGAAAAAGCCGTGTGCCGGGGCTTTGTGTTTGACCCGGGCTGCAGATAACGCACGAGTAGATCAGGGTGTTTACAATTTCATAGGTTGTGGACGAAAAGGGAAAAAAAAATACACGGTAACACCGTGCGAAGTGCGAGATCCCCTGTGTTCCCGTTTCAGAGAGGGAAAGGTGATAGTACGGAGGCAGCTGCCTCCCTGTACCATGGACGTGCAATTTATCAAGCTGAAAGTCCTTATTTCCCCTTCATAATACCGTTTTAGGATGGAAATGGTTCATTTTGGAAGTGTGAAGTGACATGGGGATAAAAATGGAAAAATCTGAATTCTTCTCTTCCTCATGAAGTTAAATACTGGATAAAACATATACCTAAAAAATATTCCAGAAGCGGAAAAGCCAAAATAGACTCCAAGGTACAGTGTGGGAATTCATTAAAAGGAAACATTTTCCAAATGCCAGCTTTAATAGTAAATTTAAATGTTTGTTTTAAATGTAATAGGATATTTATCCTCATCTTTTCATGTTTGCCAAGCACCTCCTATTAACGTTAGGTCAGGAGGGAATCGATACTTGTTAATCTGCAGCTATGAAAGATAGGAAAGTCTAAACATCAGAAAGGGAGTGCACTTCCACTTACACTGAAAAAGTGAATGCTGATGCATATAATGGAAATACACCTAAAAAGAAAAAAAAAAAATAGACTGAATTCCAGAAAATACTTCCTTAGAGTAAGGTCTTACTCAGTCTCGGAAGGGACATTAAGGAAACTTTATTGCCTGATACATTTAAAATTAGCCTGAATAAAAGATCTAGCAAAATCTGTTGCAGAGGTCAGTCATGCATCCTCATGGAAGGCATAACTCAATAAACAAGTTCCACCTCCCAACTTTTACGAGTCTCTTTACTGAGCCACAGAACATAAACTGTTTAGGGGTTCACTGTTACTCCAATACATATGGACAGTGTGGGAGATAAGAAAGACAGCAACACCGAGCAATTATTTCAGGACTGAGACATTCCAAAGATTCTATGAGGCAGTAAGCTCCTTGTCATCGAGTACAAATTCTGCTATTCCTGCTACTGCAAGAACATCACTACAGCGCTGTGCCTGAATCCTCGTTATCTGACAGGGAAACAAAGCACTAGGAAATACTCATCTAATCCCCAATCCTTCTCTCATTCAAGTTAAGGACAGCAGAGGAGGGTCCTACTCAGGCAATAGACTGACTGAGAAAATAAATTCTATCTACAGGACGGAAACTTCCTGCATATTTTCCACTAACAGTACCTACAAATATTTCTACTTATGTGAGCCACGGTGGAAGCTGTGGCATGGGCTAATCTTCCATGGCCACACCAACTATTGATCCTTTACAAGTACTTATGGAATTAAACCACTCAAACAATAATAAATAATCCATCATAATATGCAAAGCAATAATGGATTCCCTGTTTTAATGAATTTTATCTAGGAAGGCTGTTGGTTGGATTTTTTTTTTGAAGATAGTAAATACACTTTTTTTCCCAACAAAATCCGTTTCACTATCACCTGTCCAAGAACTTACATTTTGCAAGGCTGTACCAAAAGCAAGATTTCCAAGGATTTAAGCAAAGGAGATAAAACTCCTTTGTGTTGTGGTGTTTCATAAAAGCGAACCCTAAACCAACACAATCTAGGCAGCCTCAGTGAACACTGTGTTAGTTATACTCATTCAAATTTTTAGCACATTACAAAAATCACCAAGTAAGAAACTAATTCTTCCATTTTACTTTTCAGTTTCTAGAGAAGGCTTGCAGGAGAAATAAATTTGCTATTACAGTGCTTTTAGTACTGTCATTTTCACATATCACCAGAACTTCTGTTAACAAGGAGTAGCAGCTCATTTTTCACACCTGCATGCATTTTAATGAAGAAATTCTGCAGGAGCCAACAGCTTTATAGGTCATTCCCAACAGATGCAGAGCCACAGGTTCTTGGGAGATGCTCTAGCAATGCTGTTCAGTTTGAGTCACACAGTTTGCCATTGCACTTAGTAAGGAATCAGAGGTTCAATACAAGCCAAGAAGAAGAATCCAGCAACCACGAAGACGCCACAGTCCGCAGAATAGCATGCCAGCTTCCCCTGCAGCAGCACACAGAGATGACTACAGGGCCAGACAGAAGCGCAGTGAGTAGGTTCAGGCAGCTCTTGCTCCTGGTACACCTGAGCAGGCAGCAGCAATGATCAATGCCAAGCTACTTCTCAGTTGCAGTGGCGTTTTTGGGCTTCCACTGCCCAATGGCACTGACAGCACCCCTTCTGTAACACACCATGTAGAGATATTCTTACAAAGCACAGCATAAGGGTTTGATTTAGCTGCTGGTAATTATGTAGACTGAATTGTAACAAGCTAGACATCTGAAATGATTTAGAAGCCTAGAAGGCTTTTTTTTTTTTTTATTTAGTTTTTTTTTTTTCTCCTGGATAATCAGCTTCAATAAATTCCAGCTCAAGTTATACAGGATAGTTGACATTAGAGTTTAAACTCGTGTGATGTGTATTAAAAGTGCATTTCCTTTTACAGAATTTGGATAGAAAATACAGAGCCAGTTACCTCAGTGGAGTTAAGATACCATGGGCATAACTCATGGGAAATAACTCTTTACAATGCAAGTTACATTGTGCTGCAGAAAGTTTACAATTTTTTTTTTCAAAGATATTTCATGTCACTGCTGCTTTCATTTAATGATGAAGAATATATAGAGACGCATTAACATCACACAAGTGTGTTTCAGTTTATATATTTTTTAAATGAATAATTGACCAATTAGGTTGGAAGTATTTTATTACTTCTTTGAATTCATTAGCCACGGTAAAACGTCAAAAGCACCAGTCAAGACAGAAATAAATAACACAATCTCATGTTAGAAAGTTGCAAATACAGTATATTAAATTATAGCAATATGCTGCTTCACACCAGCCGATGCAGACAGCACACTAGGGAGACAGTAGTTTTACTCAACGATCATTGAAAAGATCTCTTACCAGAACAGGGGAGCTGCACACCCAACTACAAGCATCATCCTTTCTTCTACCAAATTACTTTATGAATTTAATCAAGGTTTTGAACTGCCAGTTTTGGAAGTTCAACATCCCCTTTGTCTAGAGGTAACAAGAGTGGTACAAAGCTTTTCTCAATAAGCCATACAAAAAGCCAAGGCTTTCACATCTTTGTAGTCTTTGCTTTCAGGTCCATTCCTGCACCAAGTCAGTTTAAAGCCACATGTTAAGTCCTCCTTAGTACGTAGTAAAGATAAACTCAGGGCACGCAACATATGCAACATTAATATCATAATATGATGAAACTGCACATCAGGGGCTTTGAGCAGAGCATCTCTGCAAGTTTATGGGGAGCACTGTATCAGTCAGAAAATATAGGATACCAGTTACAGTCCCTTTGGGGAAAAAATTCCATACAGAAAAGCCATATTAAAAATATTAAGGCAAGACCTCTACAATTGCACACCACTTCAGGCCTAAATTAAATCGTGAATGTTTTATTACTTAGATGTTACCCTAATTTCTCTTTTATGGCCTACAGCAAAGTTTTCCACTGAAAAAAACAGTTAAAAACATCCCCAAATTATCTACTGAAGGCCTAGTAACATGTCACTTGCACGACATCACTCATGGTCAGTGAAAGACCATAAACACGTCCTCTTCCAGGCAGGCATTTGAAAGAAATCATCTTCTGTCAGGGAACATGAATGTAATCTATACTGTAGTGAAGTCACTTATACAAAAAACATAACAGATGGACAGATGCACTGTAAAATAAACAGCTTATACAACAACTAAAGTATGAAACAGCTGAGATCCACTTTAGTAGGTCAGTTGGAGTAGAAAGCCAAAAGGAAAAAATCTCTGGTTTTTTAGGTTTAACTTCACCACTGCTTTAATGTAGTGTCTGTAGTTTAAACTAAAGAAATTGTACATGAAAAAATATGTATGATCATTCTGGTGAGGAAAAACATTCCCATGATTACACAAGCTCAGAAAATTTTTTAATTAACTAAATGTGTTAAATTATGCCAGTGATTAAATCTTGTTATTTACAAGATCAAGTACTACTCTGATTCTTAGTAATGGTGCAGTATCTAAATTAAGATCACAGGGGTTGGATTATGTTTTGGTTCTTTGGAGGTTTTGAGTCTGGAAGAAAGGAGATGAAGTCAAATGTATTTGTGCCTGAACATATTTTACATCTAGATCAATTTTTGTTATCTAGTCCCATGACGCAGTAACATGGTTTAAATTTGAAGCCTGCAACAATTGTGACATAAGGATATAGAAGACGACACATTTTTGCTCACAGAAACACACTAATTACTGTACTCACTGGTAAACTTCAATTTTGTAATTATTTTTAAGTACTGTGTTTCCAAATACCTCTACATAGAGTGCCCAATTACATGTATGGGAGTGTTAAACTTCCTGACATTTTCCATAAAATCCTCACAAACACCTCACAGATCACCAAACTTGTACTTCGAAGAATCGTACAGAAACATTGCACAGACTTTGCACCACAAGGGCTTATACATTCAAAGGCAGCTTTCTGGAGTGCAGGTCCATCCATTCACATTGGGGAAAAAAGTTCACGTAAATTCCAAAAATAAGAAAATGAACTGAAACCTAGTGTGACTTTACACCAATAAGAACAACAATAAGGACAATTACTATAACAAACAAAATTAAAATAACAAGCATCTTCCGATTCTTCTTTTGATATTGCTCTGCCTACAGAAACAGAAAAAAAGAAAAGAATTAATATTTAGATTTCTGCAAAGCTACAAAGTACAGTCTTGTTTAGTATAAGTGAAGTACATGTGTCTCAGGACTGATCTTTGGTAACCTGACATTTCATACAATATATATTGCAAGCAACTCCCACAAAATAACTCTGGTCTGCACCATAGGCTTCAGTGAAGGTAAGGGAACTCTGAAGTCACATTTATCTGCATTAAACAGGGACTCTATAGAAGAATGCATCCTCATGTCAGCTCAGCAACTTTACTGTGACTTCATTTCAGCAGTCCCTGGGAGGGCCCTATGCTTCCACAGGGCATCCAAGCTACTCAGACGAATGACACTTCATCCGGAAGAACACTTCGCTCTGAAGATCATGGAAACAAGATCAGGCAACTGGGTATGTGAAAATCTGAACAGCAAAAGTTGGTAAGATGTTTTAACTCATTTTGCTGATATAAGATTCCTGTACTGTATTTGAAGGACATTAAAATTCACAACAAAACTTCATGTTTTAATAGGCATTTTTGTTGTACCTGATTCGGCTGTGCATTTTCATTTAATTTCAATTAGAACTGAAAGCTTTCTTTTTCATTTGATTCTCTTTGTTTTCTGCTTCATTCCTTCTTTCTTCTAACCACATTTTCTCATCCCTTTCCTCTGTTTCCCAGGGGAATTAAAAGGAGGCAACGTGGAGAAAACTCTCCAAAAGCCAAATGAAAGTCTGCTAATAGAAGCTAAACAAAACAAAACTTGCATTTAACTCTTTTTAAATTAATAAACTTCAAAATTTAAAGGGAAAAATATATTAATTCTTCTCCTTTATAGTCCCTGGAAAGTAATTACTTATTATCAGATCCACTAAAGAGGAGTTTTTGACCTGAAACTATGTAACACACAACCACTGCGATTATTTACTTAATTAGGCTTTAAGTATCAAAGCCTGACAAAGTATCACAACTGATTCCAATTTTCATGTGAAGCAGGAATTAGTAACTAGTGATTCATATCACCAGATTTCTGCAGTGAATTAATACAATTTCTGTGAAAGTACTGTTTCAGTAGTTTGTAATAATTATGCCAATTGAAACAGAAAAGAAAATTGGCATTATAGATATTAAATCAGGACAAAGTTACCAACGGTATTAGAAACAGCAGGGTATCTGTCTTTGGTATTACTATTCAGACCTGTGTGTATGTCTTCTCTGAAAAAATTCTTATACTGTACTGAAAACAGGCATATATTGCATCAAAAATCCATACTCCAGTCAGCAATCCAAACTGGGGTTTGCTGACAATTCATTAACTACCACTAGATTAGAAATAGCGTTGATTCCAACTGATTCCTTTGTTTCCAGTTCTGTTTGTGCAAATTGCTTGCAATTACTTTAAGCCTTGTTCACCAATGGTCAATGCCTTATTTTAGTGATTCCCAATTTACTTTTAGGTATAACAAGAATAAACCTATAACCAATTTATTTTGCTTTGCCTCAAACAGCACTTTTTTGCTGTCCACACTAGAAATCTACCATAATATGCAGTTGAGTGTGTAGTAATAAGATGTCCACTTTTCCAAAACAGACTGTTTTAGTTAAATAGAGGCTTTTGCATAAATCTCTCATCCTACTTTATTTCCAGTAATGGAAGGACTGAACTGAGCTGACAAGTCAGAACTTAGCTTAAAATCAAAACAAAACAAAAAAGCCAACAAAACAACCACAAAACTCTGTGATCTGCTGCCAATTCAAACTTTTCAGATGTTCATAGTAAAAGTTTCACATTAAAAGCATAAGTTTGGACCTAACTTCTGACAAGTGTCAGACGGTAAGAGGAAACATTAAACATTATTCTTGCTGCTTTGCACTATTGAGATAATGTTTTCCAACCAGGACATATCAATTGACTGAAATCTATAGTGAGGTACCCAATAACCAGTCCTATTGCACAAGTGCTGGGTTCTCAGAGAAGAAATTGCAGATAGGTCCCACCAGGTCAGCAATATAAAGATCAAAGCACACTGCTTGGATGCCCAGAAAGTTCAGAAATTGACACTAGGCATCAAGCATGATGTTAACCAGAGTTATACAGAAAGTTCTTAGTAGAGTACAGTTGGACATTTTATACTGTACAGCAATGATTTCTAAAAGGGATGATGACCAGTTGAAAAGTGACTGAATAACTTAATGGCTATTTATAGAAGTTTATCAGGTATGCAATGCAGCTTAAGTATTCTGTCAGCTTACCTTATGTAGTTGTTTTAGACCATCTTCAGTTTTCATACATGACTGTTCAACATTGTAGTCAATTCTATCTAGAACTGTCCCCTAAATAAAATGCAGAGAATGAGCACCAAATTGAACCTAAACAAACTTCATAAAGCAATTATTACTATGAGCAGCAGAATAATTAACAATGGTCACAGCAAACAGCTAATGAAGTATAAAAACTATGAACTTTTACAAAAGAACTAGTTGGGACTTCAGAAAAGGACCTCCTTGCTCAATGCCTAACTGGCAGCTCTGTCACCATCTCACATCACATCCCTTAATCATCATCTTAATTACAGTTCAGGTGCTTTTGGCTAACATATTTAACTTAAACTGAATCTCTGGGAGAAATAACCAACAGAATTTTGGCATTCTATGTATTTTTTAGTCTTAACACCCATAACCAGTTGAATTTCTCCCCTCGCCCCATTAATTCATCTTCTGGCAGATTTTAAGCAGAGGAAACCTTAGCCTGAAGAGGCAAGTTTGGAAAAGTGAGAAGCACATGAAAACAGAATGTTACAATAGGAAGAGTCTAGAAGCCTTAAACACTACATGGAATCTCCCGTTTCCTACTACCACTGTGATGTCAACGTACCTGTTCTACTATCATTGCTCCCAGGTCCCTAAATATTTCATTGAGATCGGAGATTGACTGTACAATTTGACGGATTTCTCGTTCTCGCTCTTCCACCATTAATGTGTTTTGCTCCACCAATGCTAACTGGTCATCTGTAAAACCCTGTTGAAATAAAAGATTTAGGTGCTGAACTAACAGTGTGAAAACATTAGAAACAATTCTAAGTATTATAAGATTTCATAACACAACAGTCTTTTTGGAATTTCTGTAGCAGACAACTATCTAAGAAAAAAAAATCTTATTGTACTTTAAATACAGTTTCAGAGCCACTAAAATAACTTGGACAGCTATTTATAGTTTTAGCAGAGAAAATGTAAGCCTTACATCCTGCCTGAACACATAAACAGCTCTTAAAAATAAGATTTGTCCTAAAGAATTTTTTTATTTATATACAAAATCAATACATGTGTCTTGTAATTATGGAGTATCTACTGATTGGTCAGCATTACAGCAAGCCCCATAATGCCAACGGTCATTAAAACGTGTAAAGACACAGCAGCAATTCTGATTTTGTTTTAAGCTACAGAGACCTTACTGTTGTCTCCCAAGGCCATTCACAACTGAACACTATCCTTCCCTCCACCATCACTCTCGTATAGAGATAAGTGAAAAAGCTCTTATACACAAGATTGGCTGAAAAGTTGCTTAACCTTTTCTGTAAGTTTTCACTTAGACACTAGGCATTATGATTAAAGAGTATTCTGTAGCACTATTAGATAGGACGCAGTAGAAGACATCCCACCCTTGCTCAGAAATGTAGTATCCCCAAATGCCACAATAAAGTAAAACAAAGAGGTGGGTCTGGTACTGCTCCACAACACGGCAACTTAACTGTACAGAAACAAACCATTATACCATTATTCGCAACAATTTGTAATACTGAAAATCTTCAGTTACCCTTTAAAGTTCACTTTAAAGTGAGTGCCACCTTCCACCTGTTTCTCAGAATCACATAATTTTCTAACAGTTACTCTTGCATCTGCCCAGAAAGGTGGTGTGACAAAGGACAGCACTATATTTACAAACCTTCTAGTCCCTGTCAGTCATGTCAGGAGAATTCAGAAATCAAACCGAGTTCCCTCACACTGCAACACTGAGGCTGATGGTACAATCATCTTAACATTCCAGCAGCAATACTAATTAGGAAAACGCATCACAGAAATCTGCAGAAATAGAATTTCCACGTAGTTTGGTGCTCACAGCATACCATTTTGATACTTTCATACTAAAATAAAATGTACATTAAAAAGTTTCTTCATATTGGATTTGTGTAATAATAACTTACTCTGTCATAAAGTGTATCATCCTCCCCATCATCCATCAGTGGGACTGAGGTGTCAAAGAAGTGTTTGGATCTTTCTTCTCTATTTTTCATGCCTGTAAAAGACAAACTATGTTTGAGCATAATATTTACGCACACTACAATCAGAGTAAGAGTTAGGACTGAAGCATGACATAGAAAAGCACAAGAAAGAAAATCTGGCTAATAAATGACATAAATAGCAGTATCTAAATTTTAACTGTCACACAGGTTTACTATTTAACAAAGCATAACAAATTCAACCAGACTTGGAAGACTCCGATTAAATCAGTGATTTTAATGTTCCATGAAGTTAAAAAAAAATAGGTAAGTTAAGAGCCTTAAAGTGTGATAACTCTAGGCTATTTTCTAATAAATTCTCTTAGGAACATCCTTCATCTGAATTGTGATCCTAAGTTCCACCTTTGCCATTTATACCATGAGAGAAAGAAATATTATATCAGTAATAAATTTGAAGATCAAGTTTTTGTGGGTATCTTACAAGATTAAAATAATCTTACTTACACGAAAAGAGAATTGCGCAATTTTAAACAGAGGATATTCCATTTCTGATCTATTTATGGATGCAGAATTTTATCACAGAATACCTTTTAAAGTTTAACCTATCACAGACTACCAATCAACAGCAGGTGTCACGTCTGAAGACCAAAGGCTGCTTCACCAGTGTAAAAAGTGACTTTGCAGACCACAATTTGAGAAGCAATGACACATCAGAAATGTGGATGGACGAAATACACTGGTTTCATTGATATATTTAACCATGAAATTTCTCCTTTAGCAATATGAAATAGAGAGGCAAAGTAAACCAGTTTGAAAACAGGCTGTGAACCCGAAACTCCTAAATTCTAACCTCCACTCTTAATATACTTCTGGTAGTTCTGTGTGCATCACTTAACCTTTCTGTGCTTCAGTCTTCAGAACCAAGACAATAAGCACACCTTAATTAGTGGTTTCCACAGAAGGTCCCCATGTATTATTGTATCTCTTATGCTTACGTTTGAGATAGTCAGACTGTGCATGCCTAAAGTTGGTGGATAGGTCCTGAAGAGACTGTGCTAAGGAAGACACTACATTCCTGAGAACACGTGCTTCTTGTTCTGTACAACTACGTGACCTGCTCTGCAAGACTTGGACTGCTCTCTGACATCTGTGAAATAACTGAAAAAACAATTCCATTAGTAAAAAATACAGCAACACACACTTTAAATATCACATTGCAGAAGTTCCGAATTGAAGTAATATTTTGATTTTTAGATTTTTAAAATTAATTTCTTATTGCCCAATGCAATGTTTAAAAAAGGTATGGAAACACAGAACACAGATGAATAAACAACTTAAAGCTAACAACGTAGCAAAGTAATACAGCTATTTCTGACCAAAGACGTTTACTTCATTGCAACTGCTTGGACTGGAAGCCTTAGAATAGATATCTGTATTTCTCTGAGATATCTGTAAATGTGATTTGATTTAAATCTCCCAATCCTATTCCAAGTAGGAAAGCAAACAGGTAAGTAAAAGAACAGGGAGGTTAAGTGACTCATTTTGTTCACTGAGACAGCGAGTGCAGCACCAAGCACAGAGCCCAGGATTTCTGGCTCACTCTAATACTGATTACAAAACAAATGCTTTACTCAAAGGCAAACACTGCCCCATCACGATGCATTATGGATATGTTACACTGTGGGTTTAGAAATGAAAGCAGTCTGTACCTGTGTGATCTCTTGGGTTGTTATTTCTATTGCCTGTTCTTCTTCACTGCTGTCATCCAGTGTCGGTCTGTTTAGATGTTTGTCATGAAGACTGGCTAATTCTTTCATCTTCTGTTTAACCCTAGTGATATCGTACTGAATCTACAACAGAAAACCCAACAATGAAGAAAGAGAAGTGACTAATGTTTCAGAGGAAAAGGTTCTGACAAACGCTACGCAAACATCACTGAAAGAAATCTATATAATATAAAAAACAGACCAAAAAGCATTAAAAAAACCCACATAAAAAGCTGATTAAGAACTAAATAGTCTCATATACTTTGAATTTGCTACTTTTTAAATCTACTCATTAATCTTAGGCAAGACTGCTGTTTTCAGATATGCTTCGTTAAGTTGGAATAATATTTTTATCATTATATGATTAATATCATAGTAAGAAGGTTTAGTCAACTTCCAAAAATACAAATGAAAATTCAGGTCAGACCTTCAACTCCATCAAACGTTGAACAGCCTGAACTTAACAGAAGAAATCAAATGACATGCTTTCAAATGAGTCACTAAAAATAAATCTGTAAGGATGATTATTATCGTAGTACAAAGGAGGCTGATCACTTTTCTGCACAATGGGTTCTGTATGCACAAACTGACAAGCCAACGTGTGTTCTGATAGTACATTTTAAAAGAATTTTCTGGAAGTCAAGAATAGCTTCACACTGCAAATACTGGAAAAGGTTTTTAACTGGATGCCTCCAGAATCATTCCCTCACACTTGTCCAAATATTTCCATACTCTGCAAGGCATCAGTACTGCACAGGCAGGCAAAATCCTCCTGCTAGAAGACACTAACACTTTCTGTTTTCAAACAGTAAACTGCAAATCTCCACCATTTTATGGTCTATTCAATTGGACCCCTCAACAGGTTCAAGCAAAAAGTCTACTCAAAGTGCTAATTTTTTTGTACCCTTCTTTTTAAGTCTCAAACTGAGAACAGCTTTGCTTTGCTAAGAGCTTTAGGACCTTCCTGCAGTCTCACATCTAAGCACACAGCTACAGCATGTCTATCCTAACGGTCCCAGTGTACTGTTAATGATGGGCTCCCACTGATGATGCAAACCCAGACTTCTGGCATTTCTGGCCCTAGATAACCTCCCTTTATTTCACTATCCTTCAAGATAGTAAGTCAAAGCTTGCCTGATTTTTCCTCTAAACAACAGTGTCAATTTAGAAAACACTTATTTTAGTCTTTCTTCTAATACTACTTCTTTCGCAAAACTTACAGCATTGAGAACGTAAGTGACAACACTAATAGATCCCTACACGAGAAATGAAACTTTGTATTGTATTTGCCACAGAACTTACCTCGTCTGCTCCATCAACCCATTTGGGAGGTAAGCGTTTTGTTACTCCAATTGCTGCTTCAGGATCTAAACTTATTCCTGATACCAGTGCCATACGATCATCAGCAAGCTACAAAAGATAAGAAAAGACAGCAAATTAATTTTACTCAAATTAGATCCAAATCCTTCAGCATTAGGAAAAAGTGCATGTATGTCTTCCTGTAAAAATTAACCTCAAAAATGTGTTTGCACATGATGCAGGTATGATCAAGCTCCACATATCCTGGTTTGTCCCCGTATGCTAATGACTACATCCTCCCACTTTCTACAGGATCTGAAAGACAAACGTTACTCTTACAATAAATTCTTAGCAGATTTTCAAGGAGCAAATATGGTATTGCAGTGAGAACTCAAGTAAATCTCATGTTGGTACATTTTTTATTAGAAGACGATTCACAGCCAAGGGATCTCTAATCAATGGTGTAGTATGGTTTATATTGGGCAGGCAAGTTTGAAAATCTCGTTTGGGAGAATCTCCCAATAAAAATGTTATTATATCTCCAAGAAATAAAAACAGTTTCCCATGACTGTTCTCAAACAATGTTGTATTTAGCCACTCATCTACTAGGTAGCTGAAAAACAAACACTCTTGCAAACTGACATGCAACTAGAATTGTTATATTATTTATTTAATGGAAATTGAAAGGTGCTAAACAAAAATAGCCAAGGCAGTGACCAACTCACACTTCCCTACTGCACAATGATACACACTTGCTGCTTCAGCTGTATGGTCTGAGGCAAAGAACCTTGCAGGAAAATTGGTAGATAATTCTCCATAACATTCCAGAGATTGTCAGAGAATAAATAAGATAATGTGCCTGCCAGCTTACACATAGCTTTTCACAGGAGGACTGGAGGTGAGGAAGGAGTAAAAAGAAACCCTTTATCACAATTAATAGTCATAATTTTAATAACTCAGGTGCAACAAATCAGGGGTTTGTATTACTGGAGACTGACACACACTGATGTACAGCAGTCACAGAAGGGCATGATATACTTTTCGGAGACTATTTTTGGGAATAGAATCCAATTTGTAGGGTTGAAATATTAAAAAGCATTAGGAAAAAACCCACATAAATAATTTAAAGTATTTTTTAGAGTAACAAAATGCCTGTGATAAATCTATCAGAATCTTATTTTTCAAATAATACTTTTGGATGCAGGTTGAATAACTTCAACCTCAAGAAAGCTTAAAATATGACAACTATGAAGAAGTACGAACATAATGTGCAGGGTGTTTGGTGGTTTTTTTTTTTTTAGTTTTGGTTTGGTTTTTTGTTTGGGTTTTTTTTTTAAGCACAGTTTGGCAGAACCCAAAAGCCATGGTCTGATCTTGAGTATACAGGTACAGATTTCTTTATCTGCTTTGACATCATTACCAGTAAAATGTGCTGTTCACTGTCAAAGAGAATTCTTTTGTTAAGGACAGTATTAGTACTACTGACCTTTAAACAGATCAGAAGATTTTTCTTGGTAGAGTTTAGAAACTTACGTAAATAGACTCAGTGCTACAGTGCAGGTACGAAGAAACCTGTTTCTACAATGGCACAGCGCTGGACGAGGTGGTCCAAAGAAAGTGAGGTATCTCTAACTCTTGGAGGTTTTCAAGACTTGGCTAAACAAAGTTATGGATGATCCTATATAGATTACCAATATTCCTGTTTGAGCAGGAGTTTAGACTAGAACATCTCCACAGGTACCAACAGGCATGCCTATGATTCTCCAATTTGAGGCTGAGTATGATACACACCTAACAGTGTGCAGGGCCACAGAGCAACATTTAGCACGGGGGCCATAGATGCTTCCAGTCATCTTCCTCCTCTAAGAGGAAGGCAGGGGAATGGATGGAATTGGAAGACAAATATAGATCTTGTTGCCAGTTGAACCAGGCCTTGTAATTTCAGAGATAAAATAATTTATTTTACCGGAGATCATCATCGATGATACCACTTGAAACATACCTAATTACTTCATTGCTTGTTCTCAGGGAAAGATTTCATACTAAAACTTAACTTCCCAGTTTCTCCCAGATTTCCAATTTTCCTTTATCAGGCCTGGAAAGCTTTGTGGGTCCCCACCCCCTCCCCTTTTAAAGTGCAGTCCCTCTTCCTTCCTGGGCAATTCTTTCCTGAAAGCCTGTTTTTTAATCCCTGACCTTACTTCCTGACCAATAAATTTTATACAATTTATGCACAGCATAAAAAATAGTTACTAGCTTTCTTGTACAAAGTCACTATATCCCATATGTATACAATAAGTCAGACCAGTCTATACATGTATCTATTAACAATGTAACATTATATTACAAAATGCTTGTCTTCTCTATGCAGCCTTCTTCTTCTATTGTACACGAAGACAGCTTATCCTATATAATGAAATTTAATAAACTAGCAGAATAAAGAAAGGAACATTTTAGCTCAACGATGTACGCTTGATGCACCATGGCAGAATAAAATGTGAATAACAATACCTCATCCAGCTCCTGAAGTGATTTGTGGATCCCATCAGCCCCATCCAGTTAGAGACAGCAAAAGATAAAAGGGAAAAAAGAGACATAGGACAGATATAGGGTATGGTCAGTTGAGAAAATAGTAATTTATTTCTTAAGCATGATGGTTTACCAAGAACAAAACAAACTGGCTTTTAAAACACAACTATTCAATAAATACATCATGATATTGTACTTTTTAAGTCAGCATTTTGCTTGATGCACAAACGTTTGTAAAAATATTTCAGTTGCTTGGTAAACAGAAAGAACATAAGAGATCAAGTTAAGAGCTTGGTTTGTTTTCCAAAGTAACTGCACAGGGAAGTTTCTAGTTACTGAAATTTCAGGTAGAAAAACTGCAATAGAATATATTGAAGTGTGACAGCAAGAGCAATTTGACTGCAGTATTCAACATCGACCGGCGAGTTAGAAGGTTCGATTATGACTGGAAGATGCACATACAAGCTTCTGTAAGACATTTATTGACAAGCACCCCAGTTATCACAGGATAAAACAGACAGCAAAAGACAAAAAGCAAAAGCAAATGTAGTATATGCTCACTTATGTACACACTTCAGTTATGCTCTAATTTCAGGTAACATTAACCCTGCAAGCATCTGAAAAAACACGGAAGACAACGTATCTACACCTTCTCTATTCATCAGTCTTTGTACCGTAGAGGGTATGTGTAAGCAACAGGACATTTCACTGAAAGATTAATAAAGCAAGCGTGCCAGACCTAGAACAAGGAGAAAATACTTGTGTTTTAATGAAGCAGAAGGCTTCAACTAATGATCTCTTTTATCCTACACCAAACTTTTGAAATAGGACTATCCTGTTAAGAACACTACTTTGATTATCTGAGTTTAAGGAGTGGTTGACTGCCCACATGAGAATGAATCTTCCAGGGCAGAATGCAATTTTTGATGGAGAGCTCTCATAGTAAAGGATTTCTTCAGGAGAAGCCTGGAGAGTGAACTAAGGTAAGTCAAAGCACTATGAGCTAGAATTGGCAACACTGCCCTGCTGGCACACAGCAGCTCTGCTCTGGAGATAACACCCAAAAGAAAAGGTAATTAGTTGCAACTCTGACAGTGACAGGCACCTTAGAAACATGAAAAGTGATCAGCTCACACTAACATCTTCTCACTTCTTGCCACAACAGCACGCTTGTAGCTAAGTAACTACAGAACTCTGAACTGACCACGACCAAGACTGAGCCATTGACTAACTTCATCCACTGCACAAGAGTGACAGTTTCCAATCATTGTGAGCTTTGATTGCATTTGAATGAGCACCCTAGAAAATAGCTTCAATTAATGAACAAACACTGTAAATAAACATCTTATGCAAGTGCTAAGTGTTATTGCACTCACTGTTGAGTAAAAGTGCACTTTCACTGCTCAGTGGACTGTGAGTTTAAACTATCACTGACTTTTCTATGTGGTAATCTAAAAAATCCAAGGATCTAAAAAAGGTGATATTGATATGGGCAAAAAAACCACGTTAACAAGAACTAAATGCAGTGTCAAATCAAGCATGTATAATACACGTTACTACTGACATTCCCTTTTCTGCAAATGTAATTTAACATACAGTTTGTTAGACACAGGTATAATAAAGTTAACAATGAACGAAGACCATTCAACAGCAATCGGTTGAAATAAAACTTGCAGCATGAAATACTGCTTTTCCTAACAAAAATGCATTAATGCAAAGCAGTTTAGAATTATGAGACTGCCAGCAGATATTTACTGGTGCCTATTACAGACAAACGATAAGTTTGAACAGAAAGTGTAAAAATCTCAGCAGAGCTGAGCTGCCAAGCAGCTCATCACAGTCTGACTAGTTCAAAACTCAGAAAAAGCCACATAAACCGCTGCTGAGCAAATGGCTTTTTGAAGTTTCTGTAACGAGGGCTCACACTAGAATCTACTGACTCCCCTCTCTTACAGATGACTTTCAATATTACTTGTATTTGGGAAAAAAAATAAAATAAAACAGGCAATGGACATCAGAGCAAACTATGGAAAAATTCAAGCAATGGGAATAATCTACACTAGTGTATTTAACAGTGCCCACATTTAAGTGAATAGAAGAGTTCTGCTCTATGAAATAAATTGGATTCTTTTCCTTTGAGGAAAGAAGGCATCAAAAAGTGCAATGGACGAGAAACCTCATGTCAATGAAGTTTTTAGAACAGTAACTGTATTTATTATTCACGGAGTGAACAGAGGCGCGATCAGCACAAAGACAGGCCTCTTCTATTCATTTTAGGTGAAGGAGGAGGAAAAAAGGTACCGACACGGTGGGGAGGGAGGGGCAGGGGGGGAAAGTACAGAGGGCGGTGGGGTTTTGAGGCGAGGGCTCGGAGGGAGGTCGGGAGAGCCGGGGCG